AGATGGACAAAATAATGAAAGAGATACTCTTAAGAGAACTTTGAAATAACTTTTCTGCGTTGAATTTTAACCAGCGTTCGAAAATAAACAGTACACAAACATAGTGTACTGTACCGGTACAGTCTCACTAAAAAAATTTGAGCGGTAGTGTACCGGTACACTAAAAAGGATTTTAATGATACTGTACCGGAGCACAACGATGATCGTAGTGTACCGCAATCGGAGCGCTTAAAAATCGCTGTGTTCCGCAATCGGAGCATTAAAAAATCGCAGTGTACCACATTAAAAAAGGCTAAATCATAAAACTAATTTTGTAACACTCAGCCATACTTTGTAAAATATTTTGTTTTTAACCCCAACATTCATTGATTTTTTCGGTACCACAATATGACATTAATTGCATAATAACCCATTACAACGCAATCACTAACATACCCTTTTTCGTGGAAAATTAAAAAAATCAATTTTCAATGTCCTTTCTTATTATTTCTACCTATTCCCATATTTTTCTACTTTCTTCAATTTCGCAACCAATCTAAACATACATGACAAATAAAATGAATTTAGCTTTTATTTTAATAATATTGAATTGTATTAGTAATTTTTGAGCTATCGAAAACATCAAACATCTAATTTTTTCAGAAATCGTAAACAACACATATGTAGTACACTACCGGTACATTATTTTTTTAATGTTCCGCCATGTGACACACCACGATTTTGAAGTGCTCCGACTACGGAACACTACGATATTGTAGTGCTAAGACTACGGTACACTACGTTTTTTAGTGCTCAGACTGCGGTACAGTACGATTCTCGTTGTGCTCCTGTACAGTATCACTAAAATATTTTTAAGGGTTGTACTCCGATACGGTACGTTATCTTAGTGTACCATACTGTTTATTTTCGAACGCTTATTAAATGAATTAAAACAGCGTTTGAAAATAAACAGTATGATACTGTACCGTATTATTCTGGAGTATATATATTCCAGAATAATACGGTACATATAAAAAATCAATTGTTGTTCGTTGGTAATGGAATCAGTTGAAAACGGCTGGATTGATTTGCATAATTTTTTGTACAAACGTTCATCATACCCCGAGTTAGGTTTTTAAAGAAAAAAATATTGACCACGTCTACTTTCATGCTCACTATCTTGATTTATCTAAAACCTTTATATTTGCCAGATAATGAAGATATCGGTTTGAAAATTATTACACGAGATACTGTTGCCTTCCCTCCAACCCTAGGGATTTATTTGGGGGCTGAGGAACTGACCACGCTAACTTCTAATCTATCTATATATATAAAAGAAAGTTGTGTTAGTTACTACGCTTATAACTCAAGAACCGCTGATCTGATTTTTACGATTCACACAAATTCGGAATTGCCTCTTGGCAGAAATAGATAAAATCCAAAAAAAAGAAAAATTGCGTAAAAATGTGAAATTCGAAAATTTTCATTTTGACTTTGTACAATAGTAATGTTTTATTTTGCAAATTTTTTTGACTTACTATTTTGGAATGTACATTTGTAGTGTTTTTTTTTTTTTAATTCTAATATGATGTGTAGTCTTTTTTGGTAGTATAAAGCGACGACAATTATGGAGTGGCGGACCTAAATAGATGATGTCAAAATAATTTAACGTGGTCAAACCAAAGTTAAAAAATAATTAATTTTGCAAAACCTCTAAAATCGGGAAAAATAGAAAAGATTTTTTTTCAATGGAATCAAATTTCAAAATAGTAAGGACCAAACATTGTAGGGACCTTTAAACATTCGCTGTAAAAAACCAGCGAACAAGTTGAAGATTTTTTTTTTTCAATTTGTTTATTATTAGTTACTATGCTTATAACTCAAGAACGTTTGACGGATTTTAACAATTCATACATCTTCGGAATGGAATCTTGGCAAAAAAATTGCGTAAAATATTCCAATAAAATATAAAAAAAAATCCTTTTGGCGTGAAATTTTTTCAATTTAAAAACTATATAGAAGTGTACATTTTTTATTGCTTTGAATTCTGAATGAATAACATCAAAAATGAAATAGTACGCAATACGATGTTAAATAGCGCCTGAAATTGGCGTTTAGCTTTCAACTCCAGGATCTACATCGTGCTTCAGCTGGAAGATGCGAACACATTTAAACAAAAAAAAAACCTTGCAGAACGTTATGGGGCTCATTTCTAAACGTGGACCTACCTACTTCTTCCTACTAACCCCCGGGTTATGATACAATCCGATTTCAAGTATATCTTACATTTTAACCATATTTTCGTACTAATTACGGCAAATGTTGGTAATTTGGGAAGAAACCATCCTTGCAAAAACTGATCACGTTTTGTATAACCATCATATGATTTAAGGAACCGAGATATGGACATTATGGGGTGTCCAACGCGCAATTTCTATGACAAATACTACATATTACTTTAAAAGCAAGTAAAAAAAATTAAGTTCGGCCGGGCAGAACTATTATTATCATCACCCTTACGGTAAAGGAAACATTTTTATATAAAAGTATCTGAATTCAAGCGTGTTTCACTTTAAACTTCATATACCAGAAAGACGGTTTGGATAATGCAGTTAACTTATCAAAAAGCAATAAAGTGAATGAGGCCGTTATTTTTATACTTCAGGGATTGTCATCTATCAAACCTTCTAAAATACCAAATTTGAAACAATTGTGTGCGTAAATGTGACTAGAGTTATCAACATACCCAATATCGGTAGGTATCAGTATATGTGTTAGACAAATCCGAGGATTTCGAGAGATACCGTTATATGGGGACTATACCAAAACGTGGACCGATAAATCTCATTTTCAATACCAACCATCCTATACACAATAATGTTCTGTTAAATTTTGATGCTCTACATCAAATAATGTTGGCTGTATCGTAATTTAAACAAACAGACATACAGACGGACAAATCGACTTAGAATTTTATGATGATTATGAATATATATATGTATATTTTATGGGGTCTATGACGAACATTAATGGATGTTATAAATGGAAAGAAAAAGTTAATATACCCTCCTTTCCAAAGTGGAGGATATAATAAGCATTAAAGACTAAAATTACGGGCCGGCAACGCGGACCGGGTCAGCTAGTTTCTTATATATGTACATCCCAAATCTACGTTCCCAACCAATATTCTCTTGGGGGTTACAAATTCAATAGAATACAAAATTTTCTTTTCTGACCACACATTAGATGTGAAAGTGGACTTGGGGATACTCCAATGTGGGGACTTTACTTAAATAAATTCTTATAAATACAATTTTTTAGCCAAATCTATTGATGAATGTGGTCAAGACCAATATGGGCCATATTCAGAAAATTTCAAATCTTATGCGAAGAGGTACTCTACCCCCTTAGAAACAAAGATGCCAAATAAGGGCCAAAAAAGAAAAAAGTGGCCAAGACCCCAAAAATAGTTTAAATCATACAATGAAATCGAGTTGTATCCTTATCCGCGAATTATGATCGATATCATGACCTGCAAAAGCGATTTAAGCTATCTTGAATGTTTGGGAAGAATTTCTGGAAGGATAGAAATCCTTTTCTTATACGAATCGCCAGAAAACGTTTCACAACACATGAATTCACACTAGATTTAATCCTGGAAGAAATATCGCCATCTGCGAAGTTTGAATGAAATCGGGGAATATTTTTGCATTTTATTCACAATTATAATTCAAGTTTGTTTTTTAATCGACCTTTTCCAATGTAATTGCTGAGCATTGCAGGAGAAATAACCACACACCAAACTTTGAGAATATTAAAATACTACAAACGGAGAGTAACTACAACAGGAGATTGACTTTAGAAATGTTACATATTAATAACCTACCAACAATAAAGAGAATAAACTATAAGAGCGACACCGACAACGCAGCTTATTGCTACCGCCATCTCACACAGAAAAATAGATCGTGCAATATGTAAAACAACTCAGTGCAATATTTACCACAGACGATGATAGTGAAATTCAATCGTAGGTTTAAGTAAAACTTGACACTTTTATAGATGTTTTACATGTAAGCAATATATTTATTTTCTGTGTATTTTTCTGTTTGTCTTTTATCGTTTTGTTAAATAATTTAATGCTGTGATAACATGAAATATAAAAATCAAAATGTATTTTTGTAGATCTCCCTGAAGATGCAATGTAACCCATTGCGAAATATCGGATTTAAATAAAGGAAAATAAACCCAGACCTAAAGCTCAAATAAATATTTATTTATTGAAATTTATTCACAATTTTTAATCTTTGTATGGCGCAATAATAAAAGTATCGCACTTGAAGTATAATTATTATAGGGTAACGTGAAAACCCAGCTAATTTGACACCAGTTTAATATTAGTGTCAACTTGAATCAAATGCCAGCCTGTGAATCAGATTCCTTTTAATATGGCGCTCCAGAACATTTCAACCATTTAGTATGTGAACATAATGAAAAAGATTGGACCATTAAAAAACATTACTTCAATGAGATTAAGTCTGTCCACAAAGAATTACAAAGATATGTTACATCTCTAACAACAAAATTAACCTGCTAAAAACTGTATACTGTAACTGTATATTACCATGTTAAGTGGTTCTATTTCTGATATTTTAGATGGATGGCAAAATATAAATTGACAATCAAATTTCAATATTGTTAATTTAACCAAAACTATTGGATATCATGGCACAATTACCGAGGCAATCTACTTTTATGCCATCCAGTGTGGAGGGCATATTAAGTTCGTCATTCCGTTTGTAACTCATGGAAATAAAAAAATAAATTCGCAGATGGCGATATTTCTTCCCGGATTAAATCTAGTGTGAATTCATGTGTTGTGAAACGTTTTCTGGCGATTCGTTCGCAAACGATACAGCTCGTCAACTCACAACCAAACGGGAGAATTTGCTTAAAAAAATAACATTTATTTAAATCTGAACACCACTTTTCTCTATTTTTCTCAATTTCAAAACACAATGTTTTCAATATTTTTGAAGAGTTTTTATTCAGTATTTATTGTTGTATTATTTCTTATAATCATTTGTTTTTGACTAAATAGTATTATGCGTTTAATTGTATTCATTGTTTTGTTTTAAGTCAAATAAACACATTTTTTAAGGTTTTAATAATATGTTATGTATAAGTTGTTGTTGTTGTTTCTTCAGCATGGGCTGTTTTGTTGTTATTGTTTCAATTTATTTTAGTTATTTAATAGGGTTTTTGTTATTTTTCTTTTCAATGTAACACACCAGTTGTCATCATTTGTTCTGCTTACAGTAGATTGTTGTTTCTTTGTTTTTACATTTTCATTTACTGTCCTTAAAATAATATTTGTATTGTTTTTTAACATTCTTTGTGTGTGTGTGTGTGAGAGAGAGTGTTGCCTGTGTATATACTTTCAGAATTGGTATTATCTTATGTTTAAAATTATAAAGCTGTATTCAACAAAAATAAGCATACCAAATGAACAAATTTAAAAACAAATTATATTTGTAAAACAAAAACTAGAAAAAATTTTATAGGTATTTGTGTATATTTATCTTATTGAAAGAATCAAAATATATTGTACAATAAAAAAGGTAGTCGTTCTTCCTTTATCCAATCATCTTTCACATCTTAAATGATATCTGATTTTAAAAAATGATCAATAGTTTGTATTTTATTCATTAATTTATTTAGGTTTTTTTTTTTGTTAACTTTCATTTTCTTTATCTGTATGTGTATGTGTGTTAATAAGAAAGAATGAAATATATAGCAATATTTATACAATTAATAGTCAAAAATGGTTTTATCGTTCCGCTGGATGATTTTTCTTTAGAAATTAAAATAAGAGAAAACCCGAAAGGTTTGAGCAAGAATTTAAAGTTAATATTAATAAGATTAGAATTCGTTTGGTGGTTAAAAGCTACAACTCAAAAACTAAAAAATATGCATTAATTGAAAGCAATGTGCAACTTAAGTACCATAAACAAATTTGATTTTCTTGTTTTTGCTATTTTTTCCAGTACGATCGCCAACCATTCCAAAAGGAGAATTTGGCTGGCCATTTAAAAATGTTTGAATATATACTTAATAATAAAAATAAAAAGCTTAAGTATGTAAAAACCAAAGTTGATATCTATAACAGTGACACATGTCAAGGAAATCTGATGTTTAAACGAAAATGAAACTATTAGCAATTTCACGTGATAGTATTAAAAGAAAAATAATAATTTTTAAAGATGGTAGTTTCTAACACACATCAATCACTTTATTTCGAATAAGGTTGATGAATACGAAAAAAAAACAAAGGGAGAGCAACATACAATTCCTATAAACAAATATTTGTTACTCAAAAGAATAGCACTGCATGGTATAATTTAAAATTATATAATATGGCCAATTTGTTATATTTAAATAAACGTCAATGTAGGTCAACTTTAATTCTCACTTTTTAAATAAAACTAATGTTTCTAGATAATTATGCTTATTGCTAACGAAACAAAAAAGAAATTTCCCAAAATCAGGCAAAAGGAGCTGAAATTTTAAGTGACTCTAGCCAAAATTTAAAATAGTACATTTATGTTCAGGATTTTCGTATGTTAACAATGCCCAAAAAGGCATTAATATTGTGAAAGCTAAACGTATGTATTTCTTGTATATATGTATTTGTATGTAGTTTTTTTAATTTTGTTTCAATTAGGTTTCAATCTAAATGTCACACAGAAATACAAAACTCTATAAAGTGTTAATGTGTGATTTGGTTTGTGTTTGTGTGTAATAACGATTGATTAATGTTAATTTATATCATTTTGTGTTCCTTTATTGGTTTCTATTCAACTAATTTTACTCAATTTTTACGGGGTTTGCAGGATGATTGTAAATATCAGTTTAGACATTTACTTAGCTACTAATTGCTGTGACTTGTAGTAGGTCGATTTACATTCTGTATGCATGTAGGTACAATATATTTTTGTAATAGTTATATAAATTTGTAAATTTCTCTTTGGATTGTTATTTTTATAAATTGTTAAGTAACTTTGCTACGCGAAGATTGTTCCAACCGCTGCACAAGTAACCGGTGTTCGAGATGCACAACAACATTCCATTCCGGAGGAGGAGGTAGCATTTGCCACTAAAATAAAAACAATTTCAAATAAACTCAAAATTGGGGGAAGTGTAGTGTGCTGGACAGATTATATAAAACTATAAAATATAACAATAATTAATTATTTAATTAGTAAACAATAATTAATAATTAATATATAATCGCATATATTTACTATTAACAATTGTTCTTCATTATGTATTCATAAATATACATGTATTGTTTGTTTTTGTTGTTATTTAGTTTGACTAACTATAATAAACTGTATTAGTATTAGTAAGCGACGCAACTCTCTTAGTGTTGCGACATTATCACATACATTGAGATCAATGGGGATGGGGGGCTGGTGGTTGTGCTTTCCTTGCCGTAATAGGAGTTAATATTGTTGTTGTTGCTGCTGCCATTCCTATAGAATGGGCATGTGACTTTTGCATTGTGCAACGGCGATCTTACTCTTCGGTACCAGTTTGTTTTCTTTTCATTTCTCTCCGTCAAATGAAGAACGGGCGATAATTTCCAAATTTTTCATTACAGTCATATTCGACGCCGTTTCTCAGATTTTAGTTTGCAAAACGTCTATGGAATTTATTTTTTATAAGAATAATAATAATAATGGATTATACACATAAATGTGCTGAGAGATGACGTCTTTAAAAAAATATACATATATCTAACACCATTTTGCTAGAAAATGACCACAAAGATACAGACCGTCCTTGTTTCAGACTCAAAATAAAATATGCATCCACGAAGAGATGGAAAGGACAAACATATAATGGTTATACAACGATCCGCGCTGCATGTACATATGCTGTACTTAACGTACACTTTCATGCGGGTTTCAGTTGTTTCTTCGATCCTGCATCGGTCGCTTTATCCACTTGGCCAAATATGCACATACACTGAGCCTGCGGTCGCTGACTGCAATAGTACAAAGAAATGTAAAAGATCTCATATATTTAAGATTACCTTTAAATGTGGGTCCATCATAATCGTATCATAATATTTATATTGATAGTAATACAAAAAAAAAAAAAAACGCTTAAACTAATGTGTGTTGGCTGGCTACAAGAAGATAGTGATAATAATTTGTAATTGTGTGTGTGTGTGTAGGTGGATCAAGGCTCAAAATATAAGCAAACACAATAATTTTATAAAAAGAAAAACGATGCGAAAATAATCACTTAATAATAAAATTATGACGAATTGTGTGTATGTAACGAACGGTGTATAAACTTATTAATTTTTAGAAAAACCAATTGCTGAGTGTGTGTGTGTGTGTGTAGAATGAGTGTGTTTGTAAATTAAAGTGTAAGCATTTTGGTGAACTTAATAGGTATAAAAAAATTCCAGAATAGTTTTAAAAGTTGAAGTGGCTACTGTGGCTGCTGCTGCTGCTGCTGATTCCATATTGTGCGAATAATTAGATCCATGTAATATTTTGATTCATTTCTGTTCATGTCCAGTTTGTGTGTCCTTCGTAACAAAATCTTCAACGTCGTAATTACACTCGGCTGGTGTCGTTACTGATGCAGTTGGTGGCGTTGCGTTGCCCGCCATTTTCTGTATGGTTCGTAATGTCTCCTCGTTAATTGTGTGTTCGGGGGAAATGTTTTCTTTAATTTCTTGTTTTACATCGGTGGGTAAAGTGTCGACATTGCATTCGACTGCGGAGGATGATGGAGCTATACAACAAGAACTGGTGATGCCACCAACGACACCTGCGGCAGCACCACTGTTGCTGTGCAACATACCGGTCATCATTTCTGCTTCTCCACTATTGGGATTGTTAACGGTAGATGAGGTTATTGTCGTCGTCGATGCCGTGGTGACTGACTCGTTGTTAAATGATAAATTTTGACGAAACACGCGAAATTGTTTTGAGGCTGCATCCAAAAATGACCTTGATTGTTCTGTAACGACGGCAGCAGCAGTGGTTGCCACAGTATTTGCCAAATCTGCGTTATTGCTATTGGCAGCAATAAACATGTCTGTGCCCAGTTTGGACCATGATGGAGGTGACTGTTTTCTTAAAGGCAAAAGCGTTTTTGAAGCAGCCGATTGTTGCTGATCCAAAGTGCATTGTTCCAAAGGCGCTAAAAAATTCGTAAAAATAAAAAAGTGGAGTGTGGTGAGATATATTTCATACACATTGGCATCATATCGTTGGCAAGCATTTAAAGTAGATAAAAACAAATTTGATTGAATAGCATATACATATAAAGATATAACATAATAAGAAGTTATTTTTTATATTCGTGTTTATAAGAAAAAAGTCATTGTAGACACAAAGCGCTACACTGGTAGTTTCGGAGCGTGATGCTATGTCGGAAGAGACACTTTTCCCACTTGTTCAAGCCTTTTTAGAAAATTCTTTCTACACGAATTAATTAAACGAAATAAAACGGTTGACTTGACCGAAATGAGAATGGCGCTTGCAGCAGCATCGTATAAAATAAAAATGTTAGAACACATACTATCGCTGGCAAACGCAATGGCATATTTCAATTGATATTCAATTCATTTATTTCATTTACAGAGCAGTGTTGGCTTGTTTGTTCGGGATACCATAGTATTTTGTTGTTGCAAAATGGCCAGGCTTAATCCCTTTATTGTTGTTTTTATAAAAACAACGTTTGTTTATTAGTGGAGAACGATGGTAATGTTTACCAGGGGGTAAGGCAGGAAATACCTAGCTTTCGAAAAGAGCCACCAATCCTCATCAGTTCCCTTGTTTTTGTCTGGGATATTAAAAAATAACTTCTGTAACAAAAAACAGCTCAATAGAAAGAATTCAATAAAACTAAAATTCTTTTGGAAAATCTTCTAAATCTTACAACCGCACTTATAAACATTTACATCTGTCTTACCCCCTGGTAAACATTGCCATCGCTCTCCACTAATAAACAAACGTTGTTTTTATAAAAACAACAATAAAGGGATTAAGCCTGACCATTTTGCAACAACAAAATATTTCATTTACATTTATTTACAAATATATAACAATCCTTAAATAAATCTAATTTTATTTATTCATTTGATTAGAAATCAATTGATTGTAACAATTCTGGCAATTCATTCATTTATAAGAAGATAAATCTGTGAAAATGGCAAGAGTATTTTCCAAAAAGGAAAACAGATTGTTAGATAAACAGGACGAGAGTTACTCATAATCTATATATAAATTAATTGTTGTTTGTTGGTAATGGAATCAGTTGAGAACGGCTAAACCGATTTGCATAATTTTTTGTACAAACGTTCGTCATACCCCGAATTAGGTTTTTAAAGAAAAAAATATTGACCACGCCAACTTTTACGCCCACTATTTGCCAAAATAATGAAGATATCGGTTTGAAAATTATTACACGAGATACTGTTGATTTTCCATCCAATCCTATGTATTTATTTGGAGGCTGAAGAACTGACCACGACTACTTTTTAATCTATATATAAACCAATTGTTGTTCGTTGGTAATTGAATCAGTTGAGACCGGCTGGAACTACTTGGATATGTTTTTTTAAATGTTCGTCCTACCCCGATTTAGGTTTTTATGCAAAGAAAAAGTGGCCACGCCCAATTTTGCGCCCATTTTTTCGATTTATCTAAAATCCTAATATTTGCCAAAATCATGAGGATATCTGTTCCACAGTTAGTATACGACGTAATCTTGACTCTCCCTCCACCCCTAGGTATCTGTTTGGGGGCAGAGGAACTAGCCACACCTACTTCTTTAAATTTATATGTAAAAAATTGAAAAAGTATAGTAACAGATAAGTTGAGAACGGCTGGGACGATTTGACTCAAATTTTCTTTTGGTTATTTGTAATAACAGTGGAAACGTTGTCATGAAAGAAAATTTTGAGAAAAATCGCGGAACTGAAAAAATTGACTGTTCTATTATGATATGGAATTTTGTGTACAATTGTTTCAGAATGCCTTTTGGAATCGAAAATTCTTATTGAAAAAAAAAAATTGAGAAAGTTTGCATATTTTGTATACATGCTGTTATATGGTTGCCATACCCAAATTTTAAATTTTGATTCGATATGGAAATAATCCATCCAATGAGAACTCAAAATTAAAAATTCATTGGGACTTCAATCAGTGAAATACCGAATATGAAGAGGCACTGTAATATGCGGACTATACAAAATAGTGGAATGAATTAAAAATATAGTAAGAAAAGGATTCATATACTCGGAAAAATTTTCCGAACCCTTAAAAATAACCTTAAATCATAGGTAACGTTATACGGGCATTATGCGCTATCGTCAGTAATTACACTGCGCCGCAGACAATCTTTGAGTTAGGAAATTTTTCGGTTGGTAAATAAAAATCCCAGGTTGTTCTACAATTTGATATAGCCACCCTGAAATTATATAGCCCCTTTCAATTTCCTCAAATGTTGGTATTTTGTGATTTCAGAAAGAAGAACAAATTCTTTCAAATAATTATAAGTATAGGACCATGCTTCATTTTAACTCTTATGTGAAGGTATCCGGTGATTTTAGCTATTACCAGGGTCTTGGTCACATTTTTCAATTTATTTTGCCCTTATTTGCCATCTAGCTTCTGGTAGAAGACCCCTTCGCGGAAATTTTTCAATGTCAATATTTCGGTTTAGCGCTCATATGATAGTACCTTCTGATTTTACCTATTTCGAGAGTTTTGATTATATTTTCGGATCGAGTTGACTTAAAAAAAGTGTTTAGGCTACTTTGGAGGTAGAGAAACCCCAAACCCCTATTATAAAAAGTTAATGTATACTTTTTAATATATATGCTATATTATTTAGGTTTTTACCTCTCAAACTCTTACTGAAAAAAGGATCAACGCGGACTCGGCCAGCTATTGATAATATAAAAAAATATGTCTTTATCTTTGAATTTAAGGTTCAAAATTCCATATTTCGTGAAATGTTTTAATGTATTTTTATATATATTTTTTTTTTGGACAAGGTCTCATGATATTTGTCATTAAAAATTATTTCTTTGGAAGCTGTGTCGGTGTTAATGGTTGGATTTCTAGATGAACATAGCAATTTGTATACACCTGTTACAAAAGAATTGAAGTGCTGGACTTGGACAAGATCTTCCTAATGTATGACTTTCGATATGTCCACTACATTCATCAACAACATTCAAAGTTGGATTTCCGGTGTTTTTATACCCTCCCCCATAGTATGGAGGGTTGATTAAGTTTGTCATTCCGTTTGTAACACCACGAAATATACATTTTAGACCCCACAAAGTATATATATTTTTGATCAGCATAAAATTCTATGTCGATTTAGCGATGTCCGTCCGTCTGTGGAAATCGCTCTAGCTTCCGAAAGAATTGAAGTAGATTAATAAAATTTTTCTCAAATGTATGTTATGTCTGCAGGATTTTTGGTATTAAAAATGGGCCATGTAGGTCCATGTTTTGGTATAGCCCCCATATTTTTAACGGATTTTATATTCGTTCCAAATGGTGGAGGGTATTCAAAGTTCGCCCCGGCCGAACATACAGCTTTTTTACTTGCTTCTTTTAAATCTCATAATTGAGGAGCGCAACTATGTAGTTAATGACTTAAACCAACTTCAGTGTAGTGGAAAACTCTTGGTTTTAAGTCGTTTGATGTAGATAGGAATCAAATAGGAATCCAAAGTCAATATTAACAAGTAAAAAACATTAAGTTCGGCCGGGCCAAACTTTTAATACCCTCCACTTTAGGGTAAAAGACACATTAGAAGAAATGTGGCAAAAAACATTAAATTACCGAATATCGGGAGGTACCGTTATATGGGGGCTATACCAAAACGTGGACCTATAATTACAATGTTTCGCTACACGAACTAGGACCCATTATGACCCACAAATACCAATTTTTAGACAAATCAGTGAACAAATGTGGCAAAAACCATAAAAATACCGAATATCGGGAGGTACCTTTATATGGGGGCTATACCACAACGTGGACCTATACATGCAATGTTTTGCCACACGCTCAGGGACCCGTTATGACCTACAAATACCAATTTCCAGACAAATCCGTGAAAAAATGTGGCATAAATCATCAAAATACCGAATATCGGGAGGTACCGTTATATGTGGACTATACCAGAACGTGAACCGATATATCTCATTTTCAATACCAACCATCCTAGACACAATGCAAATAGCTCTGCTAAATTTTGGCGCTCTACGTCAAATCATGTGGGCTGTATCGTGATTTCAACAGACAGACGGACAGACAGACAGACGGACATCGTTAAATCGACTTAGAATTTTATGCTGATTATGAATATATATACTTTATGGGGTCTAAGACGAATATTTAAGGATGTTACAAACGGAATGACAAAGTTAATATACCCTCCTTTCCAAGGTGGAGGGTATAAAAAATAATCTTTCTAAAAAAAAAACAGAATTTTCAGCGAGATTTTAGTTAAATTTACATATGCTACGAATCTGAGCCAGTCCAGTCTCAGATCCATTTACAAAAACGGCTGATATAAGTACTTTGATTTTTGCCAATTTTAAGTTTTTCTCTTGGCATAGTAAGAAGCATCTGGCAGCAAGGGTCGGTAAACAAAACATCGGAAGATTCACAAATTTTGGATGCAGGGATAGTACATATGACAATATTTCGACTGTCATGCGGGTATTAACAATTTGTTAATTTACGTTTAGCGTGTAGCATAGCGTAATCGTGTATCGAAGTTAAGAGGCAGTGACAATAACCTCGAAACTCTGTAGGACCGAGTTATTCCTGCCAATATATAAAAAATGCTCTACTATACTTTTCGATGTACTTACGATCACGATATTAATTACAATATAAATCAGTACTTGAAAAAGCAATAGCTTGTAATAGCATAGTATGGCAAAACATTCTCGATGCCAAAACAAATTATTAGACTATATGTAGGGAAATATGAATGCCCCTATCTCAGGCCCTGTATACCCTCATAAATATTGCATTAAGGTAAAAATCTATACACATACACATTTAATTTTGTTAGCAATGCCTGCCCTTCTGATCGGGAAGTCCGATCAAAGAACGGTTAGGGTAGGTTAGGGTGAGAATACTCACTAAAATAAAAGACATTAACCGATTTAGCCTGCATTAACAGAATGAACAATAAGGAATAGATATGAGTTTTATTTCTGACAACTATAGCTATTGGAGGGGTTGACGAAAGCAAATTCATAATGAGATGTAGCTAATTTTAGTTTAGATAGAATATTAGAATTTATTTCACCGAGACGAATCAAATGCGTATTCCAATATTCTGATAATCTAATTTCATATCTATATATATAAAAATCAATTGTTGTTTCTTGGTAACGGAATCAGTTGAAAACGGCTGGACCGATTTGCATATTTTTTTGTAAAAACTTTCGTCATACCCCGAGTTAGGTTTTTAAAGAAAAAAATATAGACCACGCCCACTTTTGCGCCCACAATTTTGATTTATCTAAAATCCTTATATTTGCCAATATAGAGGAGATATCGGTTTGAAAATTATTACACGAGATACTGTTGACTTTTCATCCCCCTCTAAGTATTTATTTGGGGCTGAGGAACTGTCGTTGTCAGTACTTTTTAATCTATAGCTATCTCTATTATATAAAAGAAAGTTGTGTTAGTTACTACGCTTATAACTTAAGAACCGCTGAACTGATTTTAACGATTCATACAAATTCGGAATTGTCTTCTCTCCGAAAAGGATAATATCCAAAAAAATCGCGTAAAAATGTGATATACTAACATTTTCATTTTGACTTTTGAAATGTACAATAGTAATGTTTTATTTTGCATGATTTTTTTTCCATTTTGACTTACTTTTTTCTAATGTACATTTGTAGTGTTTTTTATATTTTATTTTGGAATTCAAATATTAATACCAATTTATTTAATTGACTTGATTTCTTGAGAAATGAAATTGATGGCGAGTTACATGGAAGTGTAGTACCGAATTATGTGGTGGCGAAACGGAATAGATGATGTCGAAATAATTTAATGGAATCGAATTTTAAAATAGAAGTACATTCTATTGACAAACTATATAAGGATCTTTAAACATTTGCTGTAAAAAATCAGCGAACAAGTTGAAGATTTTTTCATTGTGTTATTCTTCTTTTGTCAATTTTTTTCAATTTGTATTATCTAATTGAATTCAGTAAATTTTTTGTGAACAAAATAAAGAATAATTTTTCACTATATACAAATTTTCACCAAAAAATGAAATAAGTGGGAAATAAGATGTTAACTGACATCTACCTTTCAACTCCAGGGCCGACATCGTGGTTCAGCTGGAAGATGTGAACACATTTGAACAAACAAAAATTACCGAAAAAGCCTAATGGGGTTCATTTCAAAGCGTGGAACTACTTCTTTCCTGTCACAATAATCCGTCCAATGTACAATCAGAAAAATACCAAATATAAAGGGTGGAAAATAGTAGAGCGAATGGGACTCTTAGTAAGAAAAGGATTTGTATCCTTCCAGAAAATCTTCCCAAACATTCAAGATACCTTAAATCGCTTTTGCAGGTCATGATATCGATCATAACTCACGGATAAGGGTACAACCCGATTTCATATTTATATAACCATCGTATGATTTAAGCTATTTTTGGTGTCTTGGTCACTTTTTAAATATTTTGGCCATTATTTGGCATCTTTGTTTCTAAGGAGGTAGAGAACCTTTTCGCATAAAGATTGAAATTTTCAGAGTAGGGCCCATTTTGGTCTTGACCACATTCATTAATTGATTTGGTTAATAATTGTATTTATGCTACTCTGCGGTAGGGAACCACCATACAGATAATTGCCACATAGGAATTTATTTAAGTAAAGTCCCCATATTGGAGTATCCCCAAGTCCACTTTCACATCTAATTGGTGGTCAGAAAAGAAAATTTTGTTTTCTATTGAATTTGTAATCCCCAAGAGAATATTGGTTGGGCCACTTTTTGGTATAACCCTTATATAAATGTATCCATGATTTTTCAACTATTTTGGCTATTATTTGCTGTATTTAGGCTACTTTGTGAGTAGAGAACCATCTTACAGAAAAATGTCAACATACGTAAATATTTTGGTACAGTCCCCATATAGTCCCCAGGCCCGCCGATCTATAGTGATGTTTACCGATTGATGGACAACAACGCGGGTATTGTTTAATCGTCATTGAATTTTTCTATGAACAAGAACATAGACTTTTTGGGGACTCTAATGCGCAATTTCAGGTGCTATGGTAATGGGTGTAAAAGCGTAATTAACTTTGACTATTCAGAAATTATTTTGCCCTCCTTCCATAGTTATTTATTTCTATTTAGTCGAATCAATATTTATATTAAAATTTGTTCACCTTTATGAGCTAGATTTGTGAAATATTATGCTATGCAAAATTTGCATTAAAGACTAAAACTAAGGGCCGGCAACGCGGACCGGGCCAGCTAGTTCTACATAATTCTTAGCAGAATAAACTAACTTATATAAGTGTATTTTCTAATATAGCAATAAAAGTTCTCTAATAATTTATTTATTACAAAAAATATGCAGACTTCTACCACGTGCTGAACTTAGAAACATTTGGCCTTCCCGCTTTAACTGTGGATCCTATGGGAAAAGAATGTCCATTGATACATGTAAACATTGTATTGATTAAAAGCCAAGATCGGAAATATGTCTCTCGGAAATAGATCAACTCGACAACCTGTTGTTGCCTGTTGCCCTCCTTTGATTTGTATATTGATTCGTTTTGTTACTTATTGCCAAAAATGTTAGTGCATTAGAAAAAAAACATTTCAATAGCATTTTGTCTACTAAACCCATTTGACTCATCCCATTAAAATAAAAGACCATGCAACTATTAAAATATCCATACTCGTACCTTGACTGAATTGTGTCGGTTCTGTTGTAGATATCGCTGATGTACTTGTGACGCCTTTAGATTCCGGAGATGAGCTACGCTGAAATGGATTATGGAATAGTGTCAATAGTTTATCAACTGCTGTTGGATTTGCAATCCATGAAGCTTTGCGGTTACGCTGTTGAGGTGCTGCCGGTGAGGCTACGACGTCGTCCGCCGCTGTGGCACTGTTTGTACTATCTCTAGCATCAGCCACAGCTGCCGTTACAAGAGCTTCGTTGACAGTGTTCTTGGTAAGTGTTATATCATTGTCGCCAAACACTGCTATAGGACATTGCCCCGAAATGGTTAAATCCTGTGTGTCCGCATGTTCAGTCGACTGCACCGACGACGAGGAGTCAGAACTGTCGACATTGCTGGCGGGTGAGGTGGATGACGACGATGAGGTAGATGATGAGGTCGCCGAAGACGATGAAGAGTCCGATGTAGATGAGGACGATGACGATGATAGAGTCGAAAGAGTTGATAAATTAGATGGGGACTGTTGAATTACTGCACTCTGGCTACCAGCCGTTGGAGCCGTTGCAGCATTGGTTGAATTTGTTATTAATGATTTTGGTGTATTTGTACTTTGTTCACTTTGTTGTGTTGCTCGACCAAGTTCTCTGGCATTCAGAATAGGTGTTGCGCAAGAATCGGTGGTTGTATTGCTTTCTTGTTGCTCTCGACGCCTTAGAGACGTCGAAGAAATAGGGGATGATTCTGGGCAAGTAATGGAGGGAGACTGTGCGGAGCTCCTGGCTTGAAGTAGCTGCAAGTAGTTATCACCCTTGTCTGCCTTCGCAGGCGGGGTAGCCTCATTGATTTTCTGTGCTGCTGCTTCTTTGGAGCTCTTCGACATGGGTGTTGGTGGGGGGTTTATGGGAGGAGTTATCGGGGGTATTGTGCGACTAGACAGTGGCACGCTGGGGTCCTCGTAGACTTTGTGTACTAAAAAACGCGAACGAGGTGAAACCGACAATCGTTTTATGGACTGAGTCGACGACGAAATCGTTGCCATAGATGGCAAGGAACAGGAAGTTGGCAGCGATGTTGACGTCAAATTTGGATAACTCGGATCGTTCGGGCCGACATCCGAGGGCACAGACTGTATGAATACGCTACTGCTCGACATGGCTTTAGTAGCAGCAAGCCCCCCTGCCACTTGTTTCTGTGTGCTGGGTGATGTTAAAGGGCTAACCTCAGACACTCGGAATACCTGAAATCTGCTAGTACGATTTGGGGACGAAGATGGTGATATCGTTGTTGGACTGGGAGCCGGTGACCGTAGGCGTGTGCCTTGCTTACGTTTCACGTCTAACTTGCTGTTTGCGGTCCCTGAACATGTTACGACAACTGGACTTGTGGTGTCGACCACGGGCCTGCTATGGCAAGTTAGAGAAATTTTTCTCGAACCCAAGTAGTAACCACCCTTTCGTTTGCTCATTGTGTTTATTGAGGGCTTCTCCTGCTGTTGAGTCTTTTCGTTGCGCGCACACATTGAACGAACGTTCTCCAACACTCGCGCATAGTCCAAATGGGCCTCACTGCCCACGGAAAGCCGTTTCGGCTCGTCGTCGATATCGATTTGCGTTACGGACGTGTTCGATTTCAAAACTTCCGCTATTTTCGTCAGACTGTCCACCTCTACCTTGTTGCCGCGAATGTCAATCCGCTGCAGCGTGCAATTGCCTCCGAATGTCATTATCGATGTTAGTGTTTCAATGCCCTTGTCGCTCAGCTCTGCACTTTGCAGGCCCAAGGTGGTCAATGTGGTGTTTTTAGTCAGGCTGTCCTTTATTGTGGAAACGAATTCATTCGTTAGACAATTCTTTCCTATGTTGAGCAATTCTAGTGACACCGTTTCCGCCAGCAGATCAGAAATGGAAGAACCCGCCTCCTTCGTTAGATTGTTGTTCCACAAGGCAAGAGCCTTGAGTCCACCTGGCGACCTAGCGCTTGTCTCTCCGGACGACTCAAGCTGTCGCTGTTGTCTTGTTAGAGTGTCGTTCTTCGTAAGTTTCTCGTTTAGTTGTGCGGACGATGAGAAGTTTAAATCACCACTGCCAATACTGCCATCTAAAGAATTATCGCTACACAGGCTGTCAGTGCTCTGGGAACGATTTCGTGTGGATTGTGTTAAGAAGGCGCAAGTGGATTCGGTGCGTCTCAAACCGCTACTGACTCCGCCGGGAGATGTCGACGGTGGCGGAGGTGTTTGACTGGGACTTGTACTTATTATGCTAACGGCTTTACTTTTCTGTGATATACTATCCTGGGCAATAGTCACTTTGGGTATTTTGTCCCGAAATTCATGAACTGGCCCTATTGGCGATTCCATGGCTTCGCCAAGAACTCCAAATCCCACTTGAATCGTAGGAGGAAGGACAGTTTCGGTGGCCGGCAGCGAGTTAGAAAGACATGTCTGAGACTTAGATGCTTCCGTTACTGAACGCTCCCTCTCCGAAACGGGCGTTGATATCTGACTAAACGGTTTCTTCTGCGGTGTTGGAGTAGAGGACGGTGTCACACTGGCTGCCACTGCGATCAAACATTCATTAGACTCTGAAGCAATTGTTGCGGTCTCTATGGAAAATTCTTTGGCCAGATCATCTAGACGAGTGCTTTCTAGGGATGCTGACAGGCGGGTGAATTCTTCTGGCAGATGACGACTAATATCACCTTCTGAGGCACTTTCGAATGCTGAATCTGTACTGTGGGTGTCATCGAAGTCTTCTCCCAGCTTGGTATTTTTATTCACATCTAGAGCCTTGCTAGCAGCATGATGTTGCATTGAGTTGGTGGGGTCAGAGGCCGTCTGAGCCTCGCCACTCAGCATGCGGCCGCCTGTGTCAGCATCACTTTGCTGGCAGTTTCGTTCCTCCGCCTTCACTTCGTAGATGTCCACATTAGTTGCAACGGCAGTCTTATCAACAATGCTGCCAGAAAAAATCGTGGACGATGTATTTTGTACAGGTACCGAAGTTGCATTTACATTGTTGTTGTCATTGCTGACATCATTGTTGTTATTAATGCTAACATAGTTATTTACAAGAGGGGTCTGAATTGATGTCGGAGCTTCTAATGTAACATTACAAATGGGAATAGCGGCTGGTTCAATCAGCGCTGAACTTGAATTGTTTGTTGATGGTGTAATGAGATCTCGTTTGTCGACATCTGCTTTGCTTACTGATGGTTCCAGAGCCACTCTGGCTGCAGAAGGATTAGAGATGAGGCTCGAAATCTCCGTTGTTCCCTCACTTATCTCGGAATCCGTGTCGTTCGGACACTTTACGAATGTGTCGGATGTTGTCATTGTTTTTGGTGCTGTGACTGTAGCAGCGACATCAAATACATCGTCACTTATTAAACTGGCGTCTTCGGAACAGCACGCTGCTAAGGTATCGGTGGAGATGTTGGAAACACCATCTTCACTACTGCTTTCGCTATTCATTGATAGTAATTTGTCTAGCATGGACTGTCCTCCACCTGACGTTTGTGAATTACCCTTTAGAGTACTCGAACGCACAGTGTCATCCGTATCCTCGTCCGGGTCGATTTCTTCAATGGTCGAACCAACAGTTGATATCAAAGGCGGCTTAAAAGTTGACACCACGGATCTGGGTTCAACGTCAAGCTTTACCCCCGCCTCACTTGGTTCCCCACAACCAATCACCCTGGGCTTTTCATCTATTTTACTCAAGGGATGTTTAAATTTCGCTTCAACGTCCACGTCGCATTCGGTTTTAATAGCCGAATGGTTCTCGTCTGTGGTGTTCCAATCGCCCATTTCTTTACCATCGCATAGGTCAACTGGCGCAGAAGTCTCAAACGGTGACATGCTTTCGTCGTCGTCAATGGCCGCGGCGCGCTGAAACGTCGTTCGTCTTTCCAATTCTTTTGACTGCATTATTAGCGACTGGACAATGTGGCGCAAACCATTGTCGCCAATATTGTTGTTGCTTATGTCAATTAATTCCAAGTAATGATTGACTTTCAACATCTCAGCTATGGTATCGGCATCATTGCAGTCCAAATCATTGTATGCTATCCACAGTTCCTTTAAAGTTTTATTATGCAAAAGTTTGAAGCCTGTAAAATATCCAAAAAGCTATAGCGTCAACAATAACATATCCTAAGCAAAACTTCATATCATCTTACACAAACTGCTCAGCGGTGCTCCCTTGAGGCCGCAACGTTCCAATTTTAATGTATGCAAATTGGATGTGTTGAGCGCACTTCCCAAGTGATCAGCACTAATCTTTGTAATGGGATTGCCCTCAGCATTCAGCACCTGCAGTTCCTGGCTGTGACTAATCATGTAGGTGCAAGAAAGCCATCCTCTGTGCGTCATCCCGGTGGCATTCGATGATATATCTAGTTCGTTTGTAGCCTCATAGTATTCAATAATTTCAAAAAGTGCGCTAGCAGCCGTTTCGTTGAGCTTGCAATCGGAAATGTCTATTGATTTGTACTGCACCTGAAATACAAGTTGCACTCATTTTAGTAATAATTAATAAATTGTTTTTGCGAAGGAAACGGTTTGTTAAACAGCTTTTTTTAATTTGTAGCAATTAATGACAACACAAAGAAGATATTCGTTTTCTGAAATCGATTTGAAACTAAAAATACACTAAATCGTACTGAATGTACTTGGCCAAAAAAATAAAAGAGAGAGACTCCTTATTAAATGCTTCAAAAGAAATAGAGAAAGTACTACTGAACCAATTCAATTATTATTTTGTATTTGAAAAATATTAGGTCCTGTTTATGAAAATACGAAAGGAAATGCGAAAGAAAATAAAGTTCTAAGTAATTTATTCATATTTTCGAGTTAAAATTAAAAAAAAATCAGATTTGTAATGGTGCCTTTCTTTGGCAGTCGTCACATCAGACTAACTTCTAAACCAATAAATCCGTCCGAACAGGATGAATTAACGGGTAGGTTCTTGGGTAAACTTTTTAAAAAAAAGACCAGCCCAGTTAAAACTATGCTCAAATATTTTTAAAGTATGTTCAAATTGTCCTCTACAGCTTTTGAAGTAGTTTTTGTATTTTCTCTCTTGTCTCGCATAATTTCTAGCCAAAGTTTTAACAATTTGAATACAAAACTTCAACCACAAAAGTCCAAACACTGAGATGAATAGTGATTGTTAAAGAATATTAATAAAATTAAAGTATCTCCCCAAACTCGCATAAAGTGCCAAAATTCGTACTGTTCTTCCTCAGAAAATCATCATAAATGTACGATTGTTCCATGGAATCATAAATTAATTGAAAAACATACAAATAACTAGAATTTATGACAATTACAAAAAGAATAAGCAATATTTAAAAAAGAATGGGTTAGAAGAAGGAGAAAATTATCGGTGTGTGAAAATGATGAACACTTAATACATCCACAATCCCAAATCATATATCAAAGAAATGCCAGGTGTCTATAATTACAAACTGTCTGAAAAAACGTTTGCATTAGACTATATTAAGGCGCAATCTCAATCTTGATTCCTTTATTCATTAATAAAGGGCATAAATATTAAAATAAACTTTCTGCACTTTTTCTTTGAACAATTTGTTTTAAGAGTCAGACAAGTATTTCATGACCAAGTAAGTTACCGGAACGACAAAATCATTACGAATTGAGAAATGCAAAACAAAGAGAAGTAAATTATTTTATTAGTGGCTTTCTCTCAATATTCTACAAGTCTAAGCTATCCGAGACTGCAGAGAAGCACTATGCGACAATGTTAAGCTATGATAGATAGAAGATCGATAGTTTCAGCTCTTTATATTTTCTGTCCATTTGCAAAATAACGATTCCCGCCTCATGTTTCAAGTCAGGATTCGGCAGGAAGATAGCGACCTTGTTCTCTTCCGGGAGAGCGTTGCCCAAATTGTCTTCGAGATGTTGTTTACTGTTTCTCTATCATAGTATTACTCTGGCCCAGCTTATATTTGATAAGAAAAGACGGCCTGCTTTTGCTAAATTAGAGCTAAGACCCACATTGGGTCTGGTCGCAGGCCACTGCAGGTTAGATCTCTACGTGGGGATGAAATAGATTTTATTTCACATTTCCCTTAAATTATAAGAGATAGGCATAACGCAAGGGGCAATAACAATGTACTTCATGGACGAAGACTATATAGCTATGGAGGAGAACATAACCCACAGTTGACATAAAATATTTTACGCACAATAAATGGAATTACAATCATTGTGGCACCAAATTATCATTTATCCTATAACAATCGATGTCTCACAATGATACCCGACGCATCCGTGTAATTTTCCATGTAACTTACCCTTTTGAGGACTTCCTCCAATGCCTCGCAATCACTTGGCGCCAATTGTATTGACTTGAGAGAAAGCAAGGGTTGTCTCAACTGTTTTGTTAGATCTACCGCCTTCAAGTGGTCCAGTATACATTGTAGTGGCTTTGTATTATGTTTGTGGCATGATGTCATATACAATTCAGCAATTTCCGAAATGCTTTTAACCATACATACTGTAAAGGAGAAGAAAAAAAGAAGTAAATATTAGAATGTGTGTTAAGAGTAATCAAAACATATGCCGTACATAATATGTATCTACATAGTTATGTAAATAGATAAACTGCATTGACTCTGAGTTAGGTTATTTTGGAAAGAAATATTGACCACGCCCACTTTACGCCCACTATTTCGATTCATCTAATATGAATACGAAGATATCGGTTCGAAAATTATTACACGAGATGCTTTCACTTTATCTCTGTCCCTAAATATTTCATTTGGGGCTGAGGAACCAGCAACGCCTAATTTTTATTATACATAAGTAAAAAATCAAATTGTTGGTAAGGGAATCAGTTGAGAACGGCTGAACCAATTACAAATGTTCATCATACCCAGACTTAGATAAAAGAAAGATAAATTTACCATGTCTACTTTTTGGATTATAGTGTTTTAGCTTACAATGTTTCTAAAAACTTAAAAATATGATAAATTTTTAGCCAAGATACCATTACATCTATATATATACTAGCTGGCCCGGTCCGCGTTGCCGGCCCGTAGTTTTAGTCTTTAATGCAAATTTTGCATAGCATAATATTTCACAAATCTAGCTCATAAAGGTGAACAAATTTTAATATAAATATTGATTCGACTAAATAGAAATAAATAACTATGGAAGGAGGGCAAAATAATTTCTGAATAGTCAAAGTTAATTACGCTTTTACACCCATTACCATAGCACCTGAAATTGCGCATTAGAGTCCCCAAAAAGTCTATGTTCTTGTTCATAGAAAAATTCAATGACGATTAAACAATACCCGCGTTGTTGTCCATCAATCGGTAAACATCACTATAGATCGGCGGGCCTGGGGACTATATGGGGACTGTACCAAAATATTTACGTATGTTGACATTTTTCTGTAAGATGGTTCTCTACTCACAAAGTAGCCTAAATACAGCAAATAATAGCCAAAATAGTTGAAAAATCATGGATACATTTATATAAGGGTTATACCAAAAAGTGGCCCAACCAATATTCTCTTGGGGATTACAAATTCAATAGAAAACAAAATTTTCTTTTCTGACCACCAATTAGATGTGAAAGTGGACTTGGGGATACTCCAATATGGGGACTTTACTTAAATAAATTCCTATGTGGCAATTATCTGTATGGTGGTTCCCTACCGCAGAGTAGCATAAATACAATTATTAACCAAATCAATTAATGAATGTGGTCAAGACCAAAATGGGCCCTACTCTGAAAATTTCAATCTTTATGCGAAAAGGTTCTCTACCTCCTTAGAAACAAAGATGCCAAATAATGGCCAAAATATTTAAAAAGTGACCAAGACACCAAAAATAGCTTAAATCATACGATGGTTATATAAATATGAAATCGGGTTGTACCCTTATCCGTGAGTTATGATCGATATCATGACCTGCAAAAGCGATTTAAGGTATCTTGAATGTTTGGGAAGATTTTCTGGAAGGATACAAATCCTTTTCTTACTAAGAGTCCCATTCGCTCTACTATTTTCCACCCTTTATATTTGGTATTTTTCTGATTGTACATTGGACGGATTATTGTGACAGGAAAGAAGTAGTTCCACGCTTTGAAATGAGCCCCATTAGGCTTTTTCGGTAATTTTTGTTTGTTCAAATGTGTTCACATCTTCCAGCTGAACCACGATGTCGGCCCTGGAGTTGAAAGGTAGATGTCAGTTAACATCTTATTTCCCACTTATTTCATTTTTTGGTGAAAATTTGTATATAGTGAAAAATTATTCTTTATTTTGTTCACAAAAAATTTACTGAATTCAATTAGATAATACAAATTGAAAAAAATTGACAAAAGAAGAATAACACAATGAAAAAATCTTCAACTTGTTCGCTGATTTTTTACAGCAAATGTTTAAAGATCCTTATATAGTTTGTCAATAGAATGTACTTCTATTTTAAAATTCGATTCCATTAAATTATTTCGACATCATCTATTCCGTTTCGCCACCACATAATTCGGTACTACACTTCCATGTAACTCGCCATCAATTTCATTTCTCAAGAAATCAAGTCAATTAAATAAATTGGTATTAATATTTGAATTCCAAAATAAAATATAAAAAACACTACAAATGTACATTAGAAAAAAGTAAGTCAAAATGGAAAAAAAATCATGCAAAATAAAACATTACTATTGTACATTTCAAAAGTCAAAATGAAAATGTTAGTATATCACATTTTTACGCGATTTTTTTGGATATTATCCTTTTCGGAGAGAAGACAATTCCGAATTTGTATGAATCGTTAAAATCAGTTCAGCGGTTCTTAAGTTATAAGCGTAGTAACTAACACAACTTTCTTTTATATAATAGAGATAGCTATAGATTAAAAAGTACTGACAACGACAGTTCCTCAGCCCCAAATAAATACTTAGAGGGGGATGAAAAGTCAACAGTATCTCGTGTAATAATTTTCAAACCGATATCTCCTCTATATTGGCAAATATAAGGATTTTAGATAAATCAAAATTGTGGGCGCAAAAGTGGGCGTGGTCTATATTTTTTTCTTTAAAAACCTAACTCGGGGTATGACGAAAGTTTTTACAAAAAAATATGCAAATCGGTCCAGCCGTTTTCAACTGATTCCGTTACCAACAAACAACAATTGATTTTTATATATATAGAAGAAGAAGATAAAACCAAATGATGTTCGTTGGTAATTTAGATTTGGACAATTTTTACAAATATTCGTCCTAACCCGAGTTAGGTTTTTATGCAAAGAAAAATTGAACACCCCCACTTTTAACCCAATTTCTTTGATTTACTCAAAATCCTTATATATGCCACAGTAATAAAGATATCTGTTTGAAAGATAGTATATGAGGTATATGAAAGTTAGTATATGGGTTCAGAGGAACTAGCCACGCCTACTTCTATATTTATAAAACCAGTAAAGAAAGTCCGAAAGTCGGGCGGGCCGACTTTATGATACCCTACACCACTTTGCTAATTTAGTAGAGCTGCACATAACAATTAAACGTTTTTATGGGAAAATTCAATCATACACGCTATCATTATAATTATAATTTAAAGTTCAAAGGACTAAATATGCCGAAGCATTTGTATCTTTTAAATTCGGAAATATATTGCCCATTTGGTGCACAATTAATTTGAAATCGGATAAAGATATATGTGGGAGCTATATCTAAATAGGAACCGATCTCGACAAAATTTAGCAAAGATATTTCTGAGCTGTATTTAATATATTTACCTAAATATCGTTGTTACGGAGTGCATATTACGGTTGTGGGTAACAAATATAACAAATCGGATGAATAATATATATGGGAGCTGTAGCAATATCTGAACCGATCTTCCAAATTTTACATACTAGCTTCTAGACTAAATTCGGTCGTAAGTGCCAAATTCCATCCCGTTTGGACAAATATTAGACGTTTGGTGTACAATAAAATGTAAATCGGACAAAGTTATATATGGGAGCTATATCCCAATCTGAACCGATCTCGATAAAATTTAGCAAATGTATTTCTGAGCTGTATTTGCTACATTTCCTCAAATATTGTTGTTACAGGGTGCGTATTACGGCTGCGGAGGACAAAAATAACAAATCGGATGAACAATATATGTGGGAGCTATAGATATATCTGAACCGATTTCGGTCAAATTTGGCATACTTATTTACAGGCCTAATTTGGTTGTTTGTGCGAAATTCCATACTATTTGGGCTGATATTAAACGTTTGGTGCCCAATAAAAGGCAAATCGGACGAAGATATATGGGAGCTATATCTCAATTTTGACCGATTTTCTCCAATTTCAATAAGGTTTGTCCTTGAGCCAAACAAATGATCTGTGCAAAATTTCATCTGGATTGGGCAATAAATGCGAACTGTACTTTGTTTTCGGACGGACATGCACAAATCGACTCAGAATGTGATTCTATGTAGATCATCAAAAGGAACTATGGGTCTATCTCGTTTCCGTTTGCCTGTTACAAACAAATGCACAAAGACATAATACCCTGACCACCTTGTGGTGTAGGGTATAAATTGTATAAACAAGTAAAAAAACTGTAAGTTCCTCCGGGCCGTACTTTGAAAACGTTTATAGTCGTTATATTGGGGTCTTTACGAAGATGTGGACGGCATAGGCAACTTTTGTTATAAGCCATTCCTATATTGAAATACGAAACTTGAAAGAAATCCGTGAATAATGTGACTAAAATCATCAAAATACCAAATATCGCGAGGTACAGATGTATGGGGCTTGTACGAAGGCCTGGACCTGCATAGACAATTTTCTGTCATAGACTGTAGTTCCCATTACGAACTCTAAATACGAAATTTGAAACAACTCCGCCGAATGATGTCGCTAAAATTATCAAAATTGTTGGTGTTTCGTTGTATGAGGGCAATACGATATCTTGAACCAGGGAGCAAAGTGCTTGGAAAGAGCTTCTAGTATGGATTTTTAGACAATTTCATTGAAAAGTGTTGCTAAAATCATCAAAATACCGAATATAGGGATGTACCGTTATATTGGAGATAAACAATATCGTGGACCTATATGAACAACAATCTTCCAGGGGATGAAGTACTCAAATGGAACTTCTAGTGTTTTTCTTTTTTCAGACAATTTCATTGAAAAATGTGGCTAAAATCATCAAAATACCGAATGTCGGGGGGTACCATTGTATGGGGGCTATACGATATCGTGGACGTATATAAACAATTCTCTTCCAGAGGGTAAAGTACTCAGAAAGAACTCCTTGTGTAGATTTTCGGACAAGTCCATTGGAAAATGTGGCTAAAATCATTAAAATCTGTGCAAAATTTTAGCTTCCTATCTTTATTTGTTAGAATTTTACGCTGATCAAGAATATACTTTGTTATGTCTAAAATTATTATTTCGATGAGTTACAAACGGATTGACGAAGTTAATATACCCTCCATACTATGTATGGTGGAGTGTATAAAAAGTATAGCAACACATCACTTG